ATGAATGATTCTTTCTTTTTTTTTTTTGTCCTTTTGAGCAATAAAGGGTCATACGACATCTAAAAAATAAAAATAAAAAAGTCTTATTTTATAAAAAAAAAAAAAAAAAAAAAAAAATCAGTTTTGTTTGGAAGAAAGTCATCTTCTTAGTACCCCTGGCATGTTGCAGATTACAATTCCGCCGATTCAAGTATGATGAATGATTCTTTTTTTTTTTTTTATTTGTCCTTTTGAGCAATAAAGGGTCATACGACATCTAAAAAATAAAAATAAAAAAGTCTTATTTTATAAATAAGACATACAATCACACGTAATACATCTTTAAGCACGTAGGAAGGGAAATTTGGAAAAAGTCCAAAGTCCATAAATTAATCATTAATCCATAAAAGGATAAACTATATTTAATTAGGAGACGAAATTAGAAGAAGATTCATTTGCAACCACAAATTAACCAACGCCCTATTTTATGTGCTTGGAAAATTTGTAACTTTGGACTGACTACTTGATTATGCAAAAACGCGTTCCCTTCATTTTCTGATGGTCACCACTCACCATATTTCCTAGCATCTCCATAAACATACTCCTCCTCCAAATATTACCAAATTATAGTATAAATTACGTATCAAAACACTCAATTGATCCTCTGAGTTGTTCCTCACTTTTGAATATACGGGATCGATCCACGCGGGGACGAAGACTGTGACGGCGACGGTACGCCAACACTATCTGCCATTTCAATTTTTGTTGGGATATGATGCAATTTTGGAGAGTGAGGGGAAATAACTACGAAACTCGACTCCGACTACCGTGGCATCATTTGCACACATTTTCAACATAAAAATCTTGGTAGACAACAAAATCTTATCTACCTTGGATTATGACTATAACATCTTATACGCATTAGTTATATTTATGTTTATCCAATATACTTTTACAATATGACAATATTATAGTTATAATATTAAATAAAAAAATAAATTTATATACTCTTACATTTGTAAAATAAAAATGTAGATTAAACCAGATATGGGAGTATATTGGATTGAATTTGGGGAGGGAGACAGCTAGCGTAAATGGCCGACAGACAAAGGGTCAATATACATGAATAGGCTAGCCATGAAATCGCCGGTGTGGGAGTTGCACTTTGTCGACGTTAGAGCTTAATTGTCCATGGACCACCCACCATAATTGGACTACGAAAGTCTACCACGTGGCAACGGGCGCCCAATAATCGTAACTTTACTATGCCCCAGCAATACCGTGCGACACAGCCGTCATGGACCACTACTAGGAAGTCTCCATGCTGTTACTGTCTCTCAATTCAAAGTCTTTAATTCATTTTTATTGATTTAGTAACTAAAAATCACAACGTATAAAATTTTGTTCATAAATATAAAAATTAACAAAATGGGAAAATAAAAAAGAATCGTCGAGGATGGATGATTTCCTTTCAACTTGAAATGAATATGAATGACCTTCTTATCAAATGAAAAAAACATATAGATGCATGACCTTAGCATGTCGTTTCATTGTGTCGTCGTCCAAAAAAGGTTGTGGGGCGAGCACTCAAGGACCATATTTTAGTTCCTCACAATTTTAATAAGTTACGTTAATGACATTTAAAAATAAAGTCTTATTCGGTAATTATAAATTAAGTCAACGAAAATAGTTGAGCTAAAAATTTGTGTATTAATTTATAAATTATATATATTTTTTAAATATATTAATTAAGTCAATATGTGAATTGTACTTTTAAAATTATTTAAAGTGTGAAAACTTGTGGTAGTTAGCATGCATCTAGTGTAAAAAAATACATAAAATAAATAAATTAAAACTAAGACTCGATTACTTGCGACTAACGATTTAAATAGTTTAATAGTAATATCTTTTTATTAGAAATAAGAGATTCTAAATTTGATTTGCAT